TTTTTTTTTTTTTGAGACAGTCTCATTCTGTCACGTACACTGGAGTGCAGTGGTGTGATCTCGGCTCACTGCAACTTCTGCCTCCCAGGTTCAAATGAATTTGCCGCCTCAACCTCCCAAGTGTAGCTGGGACTACTACAGGGGCCCGCCACCATGCCCAGCTAATTTTTGTATTTTTAGTAGAGGTGGGGTTTCCCCATGTTTGGCCAGGGTCGTCTCGAACTCCAGACCTCAAATGATCCACCCACGTTGGCCTCCCAAAGTGCTAGGATTATAGACCTGAGCCACTGTGCCCGGTCTCTATTTCTTACATAAGAAAAGAAATTAATATTGATTGTTTATTTCTTCCAAGGATCAAAATAAAAATATAATATTTAAAGACATTTTTAATTTTGAAGAATTGTCATGAATATTCATTGCTATCAACTTTTTAATATTAATACTTAGCTTTTGGTTATCATAGTAAAGTATGGTTTAAAATATTGTCAAACATTGTTGCAAGTGTTCATTTTATATTTTATCAGATTTACAGCATCATTTTCAAAAAATATATGTAGATATCTATATGTTATATATACATTTTATATTTTTAATTGGGTAGGGTATATAAATGGTGTTTCTAAAATTTCACATTCAGGAATCTATGATAACAACAGTTTTCTTCATGCTTCCATAAAAAAAATGATTGGGAACTAAGGAAAGAACTCCTTGCATTTTCCATCAGATGGTACTGATTCACTATACTGTGTAAAGGAAGAGGAATTTTTTCAGATTTAAAAACTCAGGAACTATACACTGGAAAATACACATAATATACTTCACTTATTTAAATTAAAGGAGTGTTTAATTTATAAATGAAATCTTACCTAATAAAGGCTTTATTTTTATATTTTGTTTCAGGCTCAGGAGATATGGACAGTATTTCCAAGGTGAGTGCTGTGTATTGTTTTTAATCAGAATTTTGTTCTTGAACAATAGTTTGAAAGTAGAAGACCAGGTATAATTAATTGGAAGTTAAGAATACTAATGCATATTATCTGCAGGAAAGGGTAAAATAAGTCTTTTAAGAATGTTTCTAAATATGCTAAGATTAATTAACAGGACATACTATACATTATTAATTGACACCCAAGTAATAACAAATTTAGTCACATTAAGATGTTACTTATTTGTAAAGCAAACTTACAGAATTTAGATAATCTTTTGAAAATGTAAAGATGTCTAAAGAAATGTGAGGAGAGATAAATTTGAAAAAGTGGTTATTATATATCATGAGGGCATTGCATTTACATATCCAATTCATCTTGCAAACCTTCATTAGAAAATGCTGATTTCCACAATAATTGTTCTAGTTCCCAAAATAGAGTAAGAAAGTGATTAGAGGAAAATTATATTAGTACAAGCAGGAAAGTGAGCCTTCCATTAGTATGTGTTTGCATTTTCCCTCTTTCAATAGTTTGAGTATCTAAAGTGAATCCTTTACTAAAATGCCTTATATTTTTGAAGAGTAGTATCTAAATACTATTTAGGTCATGGTGAATTTAAAATAGTTCTCAGTGAGTCAAATATATCTAGAATTACTGATGAGAACTAATTATTCGCTACCACCAGAATGACTCTCTTAGAAGTCTGCTCTATATCAATAAATAGAGAAATTCATTAAGGGATGACTTTATATTTATGTATAATAATGTAAAATTCCTGCTGCCAAGAAAAATAAAATAAGATTGATTGAGCTAAAAAACATTTTAAATTAAGACTTCAAGTTTTAAAAAATATTTAATTGGAATTCTGGCATTATAACTCTGTTGCCTGGCTGCTTTGCCTCACAAGCTCCACATGTATTTTGGATGTCTATGTTTAGAAACAATCATGTTTAGAAAAAATCAGAAAGGTCTTTTTCTTTTCTAAAAATAGATAAATATTTATAATGAGTACTAGCTTACCTCTGTGAGAAATGGTATTTATGGAGCCGGTTTTCAAAACAAAATTCCCTATGTAACTTTATTAGAGCTTTCTCTCTGGACCTTTGCAAGTCAGATTACCATGAATGTGTTGGCTCTCAGATACTACTTTTATTTATTTTTTTATTTTTATTTTATTTTATTTTATTTTGAGGAGTCTTGCTCTGTTGCCCACGCTAGAGTGCAGTGGTGCAACCTAGGCTCACTGCAACCTCCCCTTTCCGGGTTCAAGCAATTCTCCTGTCTCAGCCTCCTGAGTAGCTGGGATTAAAGGCTCATACCACCAAGCCTAGCTAATTTTCGTATTTTTAGTAGAGATGGTGTTTCACCGTGTTGGTCAGGCTGGTCTCGACCTCCTGACCTCGGGTATTCTACCCGTCTCAGCCTCCCAAAAGTGCTGAAATTACAGGTGTGACCCACTGCACCCAGCATCTCAGGTATTTCTAACAATTTAGTTAGCCGAATTGTGCTTTGTGGTCACCAGTGAAATTTCTGATGCCATATTTGAGAAGCATATTCTTGTATCTACAGATGGATTCTTAATTACAGAAAAGTAGGATCATCCAGATAGTTTTAGGCCATCTTCCTAAAATTTTTACTAACTACCTAAAACCTTTTACATTAGATAGATATAAACAAAATTCCATATGGGAAAGTAATAAAATTCTATATGGGAAAGTACTTTATAATTTGTAAAAGTTTAAAAAATTTTTAAAGTCATAATGGTGAATTAAATGTCTTCTAATCTGCCCTCATGTCCGATCGGTTGCTATTCCTTTTCTGCTTACTTTCCCATGCCTGTTTTTGGATACAAGTTTTTCCACCATACCATGCCCAGTCCTCATAACACTCTCTTACCTAATGATGCATTGCTTGTGCTCTAAGCAGTAACTGACCATCCAGTGTGTACCTGTGTGTGCTGGGTGTTGCCTTCTGCATTATGGGGACATAGAAAAGACTTCTCTAACAACAAACACGATTTCTGCTCTCAAGTGGTTTATTCTTAGGCAGGAGTTCCTTCATTCAGTAAATGTTGACGCACTGAGGCATTATGCTGGGCTCTAAAAGTCCGAAGATAAACTAGATATGTTCTCTGCCCTCAAGAAGTTCAGTTTAACAGAGGAGCTCAAACAAATAGGATAAATAAAAACTTTTATAAAGCAAAGTTAATATGCATTTAAATTAACGTAAGATTTATCCCCCAGTAATAAACATGCCACTTAACAATGTGCTAGAATTGACTAGTTAAATCTGCCTTCAAATGAGTTCCTACGCATCTCATTTCTACACCACGTCTGCTCCAGGTTCATTGGCTCTGGGCTCTAAGCTGGCCGACCCTGGGTGATGGTACCATTAGTGCCTGTTGCACCATAGTCACTTTTTCTCTTAAGATGCATCAGCAGCATCGTGCACATTGTATACCCGCTGCCCCAGATTCTTTCTCTCCCTGCCTCTTTCCACTCCCACCCTAATTTTTTCAGTCTTTGACTCCGAGGTATGCACAGTCACAGTCTAACTCTGCTTTTCCCACATTTCTTCCTTTTCCAACACATGTTCAGCTATCTCAAGAAGCTTTCTTCTTCCTTTTGTTTTCCTGGCATCATTCATTATCGTTCATTTCCATCCCGTTTTTTTCTAGTAATTTTATTTGTGAATCAAAAGACAGCCTTGACCATTATTGCTTAGTATTTTTTTTTTTTTTTTTTGAGTTGGAGTTTTGCTTTTGTTGCCCAGGCTGGAGTGCAATGGCACCATCTCAGCTTACCGCAACCTCCACCTCCTGGGTTCAAGTGATTCTTCTGCCTCAGCCTCCCAAGTAGCTGGGATTACAGGCATGTGCCTGTAGAGATGGGGTTTCTCCATGTTGGTCAGGCCGGTCTGAAACTCCTGACCTTGGGTAATCCACCCACCTCGGCCTCCCAAAGTGCTGGGATTACAGATGTGAGCCACCCCGCCCAGCCATCGCTTAGTAATTTTTAAAGTCCCTCTTAGGTCTCTAGCCACAGCTCTATAGTTCTCCACTTAAATCTGTATTTTGTCAGCACCAGTATCACATATTTTTTTTAAAAATTTTTACTCCATTTTAAATGTTGTGTATAAGTACTACTTCAATTGTTTTTCTACTTTTTATTGCATAGATACTCTATTTTATCCACTTTATTTGTAAGATAAAGAAAGAGTACTGAATTGAGAATCAGAAAACCTGATGCTACTACAGTACTTACAAGTTGCAGGAACACGTTAGTTACTTAATCTCTCATAGGCATAGTTTGCTTAGCTGTAACATAAAACTTGTAGTTCATTCCCTGCCTGCTTCATAAAATTGTTGAGAATCGAGTGTGAACATATGTTAAGGGCTATGAAGTGCTATACAGACATTGAATATCATTCTTCTCATTAGATATACAATCTTTTGTGGACAAGGCTAGGAACTCACACTATCAATTGTACTTTGATGGCACTATTTCAGTAAGCAAAATGAATTCAAAGCTTCCAATGAAGTTTCAAAATTATTTCTTGCTCAGTTGAGCATTACCTAGTAAAACTCATGTGCCTCATTCTCAGAACGCAGAGTTTATCTTTAATTTAGAAGACTTTTAAAGATGATATATGAAATTCCTTTCATCCCTTTAATAACTGAGGGGTCACCCATTTAATTAATGAAACAAAAAATCTTTTTCCTTGGAGTTGGGGTTGAGGGTAGAGAGAAGTATATGGTTTGTTTTCTTTTTTTTTTTGACTCAGAGTCTCACTCTGTCGCCCAGGCTGGAGTACAGTGGCACAATCTCGGCTCACTGCAACCTCTGCCTTCCAGGTTCAAGCAATTCTCCTGCCTCAGCCTCCTGAGTAGCTGGGATTACAGGCATGCACCACCATGCCCGGCTAATTTTTGTATTTTTAGTAGAGATAGGGTTTCACCAGGCTGGCCAGGCTAGTCTCGAACTCCTGACATCGTGATCCACCTGCCTCTGCCTTCCAAAGTGCTAGGATTGCAGACATGAGCCACTGTACCCAGCCGGTTTGTTTTCTTAGAAGAAAAGCAGCTAAAGAAATTCTGCAGTTCACATTAACATATCTCACATTTATATTTTTGAGTTTGAAAAAAACATGTATGTGAGAAGACAAGCTCTGATCATATCATATTTAATAAATTATCAAGAAAGTATTTTCAACCTGAAGCATTCTGACCTCAAGAACTTTGGTTCCAGTTAGAGATCCTACGCCATTCACAAGGGAGCTGGTAGATGACTAGAGATCTACACCATCATCTCAGGTGTGCTGACCTGAGTTCTAGCTCAGTTGTACTCACTGGGAGAATGACTGACAGTTTATTCTTTGAGGGAGCTAGCAGAGTCAAAACAACACTCTAGAAAACTCACTGTTGGCAGCCTGTGAGAAAGCAGTTCAAAATCCACTACTTAGAATAATGTCATTATTATTTTATTCTAATTATAGGCAGAGCCACAGTTTCTATAAATGTTCACTTTTTTAATTTGAAAATGGAAAAATTTAGAATTTTAAAAAGTTTTAAAAGGTTTGGAACAATTTTTAAGGATGGGAGAAGGGATAATAACTTACTAATTAAGAGAAGGTATGAACTGGGCACAGTGGTCCACACTTGTAATCCCAGCACTTTGGAAAGCCAAATGGGGAGGATTGCTTGAGTCCAGGAATTCATGACCAGTCTGAGCAACATAGTGAGATCTCGTCTCTGCAGAACATTTTAAAAATTAGCCAGATGTGGTGGCAAACATCTGCAGTCCTAGTTACCCAGGAGGCTGAGGCAGAAGCATCACTTGAGCCCAAGAGTCCAAGGCTGCAGTGAGCTATGATCTCACCACTGTATTTCAGCCTAGGTGACAGAGACCATGTCTCAAAAAAAAAAAAAAAAGAAAAGAAGATATGAAATACCTGCTAGATGAAATCAGACCAGGAAGTCTAACAGGGTTAAACATGGCAGTCAGAGGAAATTGTGTTTGCGGTGTATTATATGTGTATGTGTGTGCATGTGTGTGTGTGTGTGTGTATAAACATTCATGTATGACATCATAGCTTAAGAGAAAGAATTTCCAGCCTGAAGAAATGATAAGTGAGAATGTAATAAAATTTCTTGAAGTTAGAATCAGTATAATCCTAACCATATTTTTTCAAGCAAAACTCTTAAAGTAGGGAATAAAGTACACATTCATTGAAATAACTGTAACCGATGAGCCTAATGTATCTAAAAGTAATCTTGTTACTCTTTTGTGCTGAAGCAAGTAGAGTGACTTTTTGACCAACCTAAGTCCTTTTTGTACATCATATTCTTGCCTTATTGATGAAACCTACTGGACATATTACACAAATACAGCTACAGTTAAATGAAGCATACACACAATTCATTGCCACTCACCCTTCTAACCTGTTCTGGGATGGTTTTTGGTACCACTATCTTAGCTGTCCCTCAGATGCCAATATTGAATGTGCCCTTTAGCCCATATCATCATGTCGCTCAGTGATTACAGACAGCACAGTTTTCTTAAGACTTCCCACTGTGGAGCTTCTGTTGTTTTCCAATTTTGCGGAGATTACTCTAGTTAAAAACAAACAAACCAAAAAAACCCGATTGTCCTATCACTTCAAGCTTTTCAAATATCGTCCCGTAGGCTGAATAGGAATAGGTTTCAGATATCTGATTTTATCTCAGTTTTGTATGTTGAATGTATCCTTTTAATCTTCCTCTCAGTGTCCTTAAATACCCATCCCCACTACACACACACACACACACACACACACACACACACA